CATTCATCCATCATCCTATCCTTCCTAGCTTCCTTTCCCCTTCATCCAAACATCTTACTGCAATTCAAACTCATTYTTTCAACTAGAATTGGAAGTCTTGATGCCATGCTTGCCACAGGCTTGTACATGAATGACTTCAGCATGCACGATACGTCACAAGAAATGGTTTTATCAGGGATCAAGCCTCTACCCCAGTTAGAATATGCACGAGACCAGGTAAAGAAGCCATTTGTATCAGAGAACTTAACTTTCTGCATGTATGGCTAAAAAAAATTTGAGTTATATCCAACCCTAAAACAGTTGTTTCTTAGTTAGATGTTGATGAGGAAGCCGGATTTTCAAACCGGAAAGCCCGGACAAAAATAAAGAGAGCGACCTACAGACAAACTCTACTCACTTGTGTTATCAAGTCCAGGAACGAAATCCGAGATCCCAGAGTAGTCCCTTTCACAGTTTCCTGCGCCATCTAGAAAGGTAACCGGGCCTTTGCATCGCAGCGAGACGAACGGTGAGCTTGCAAGATAGAGACGTGTGAATAATTGTCCAAGGTGTTAAAAAAGGTCTTTATCATTGCAAGCTCACCGTTCGTCTCGCTTCGATGCAAAGGCATGGCTACCTTTCAAGATGGCGCAGGGAACTGTGAAGGGGACTATTAGTGAGAAACGAATCGGTGCAACACCACTATATGCACCATCCCTCAGATTCCCATGAAATTATAAATATATTTAAACTTTGTTTCTTACGATGTTTTTTAGCAATTTGAACAAGGCAGAGAACTTGAACAATGTATGGAGAAGCTGAACAAGGAAAGGCAGAAGAGCGAAGAATTGCTGTACCGAATGATCCCGAAACAGATAGCAGAACGACTGAAGCAAGGAGAAAGTCCTATCAATACGTGCGAGGTATGGACTAGAGTTTTGTAGAAGGGAGTAATCCTATAGCTAGTAGGTATATAAAATTTCATATCATTCTGGTGTAAGTGTTATTACACAAAATTATATTATATATATTATATTAGAAAGTATACGAAATTTCGTATCATTCTGGTGTGTTACTACACAAAATTATCTATTATTATAGTTGTTTCTTTGCGTTAATTGCAAGAAGTAGAAGAACATGATAGATGAAAGGATCCTCCTCTTCCTCTTTCTCCTTCTTCTCCTCCTTCTCCGATTCTCTTCCTTCTCTTTCTAAATTTGTCCTTCTTCTTCTTTTTTGCCCCATTCTTTGACCTCCTTTCCTGGACCTCAGACGTCTTCTTCCTTTTTTCCATTCCCTTTTTTCAAGCCGTCGTTTTAAACTTTAGACTCTGATTAAGATTCTTGCAATTGCTGCATTTTACTAAAGTTGGTTGAGTTTTTAAARAAAACTTCCCTTTTCAAGTATTTCGACAGCGTCACCGTATTGTTCAGCTACATGGACGGTTTCGCTGCAATCTGCACRCGTGTCAGCGCGATGCAGGCCGTAACCTTGATCAACAACCTGTTTACCCGGTTTGACCGGCTTAGTGAGACACACAACGTTTACAAGGTGAGTTGCTACACATGTTCGCGAATACAAGCGCACGGATAGAAACTGAGTAATGGAAAAAAACGTTTGCGCCTGCTTGCGTACTTTTTAACACCTTTTTAAAGAATTCCAGGGATTTTAATGAGAAAAGAAATGTTCGTGAAATGTTCCTGAATATAGAAACATTTCGCCAGTATACTTTTTGGTATTTACGAGTTATTAAYTTACCAATTAACTTACCAATCTTAACTTTAAAATTGAATAGTTTGAGACGTTGGGAGACGCTCTCTACATGGCTGTATCTGGTGCGCCTGTGAGAACAGCGCGACATGCTGAACCAATGGCTTCTATGGCGTTAGATATGCTGAATGCTGTTCAAAAAGTAAAGGATCCAATCACTAAGAAGGCAATGACCGTGACAATAGGTAAGGTTGCGTGATAGTCACCGCAAGTATAGAGTGACATTGGCCGTATTAGTAAAGTTTACTATTAACTTTCGTTTAATATGGTTTGACTTTAAGGTATTCATTCGGGGCCAGTTGTAGCTGGTTTGGTGGGAGAAATGACATTGCAGTATTGTCTGTTTGGTGATACCGTTAACATAGCATCCAGATTAAGAACGACAGCTTTGGTAAGGTCATCTAAGACAAGACAGATTAAGTGGACCCAGTGATGACCAATGGGGAACCCCAGTAACGCCAAATATTACGCGCTTTAATAAATAGGTTTATCTCTGATTTAACGTTAAGAGATTTAACAAGCTCCCCTTATTTAACATGGAGTCAGGGGACCAAGTAATAACCTCTGGAGTATCCCAGTAACGAAACATATATTCGAGACTAATTGAATATATACGTCCCCTTTTTTATAGTCTAGATCTTTAACAAATTTGCCTTATTTAGAAAGGAGTGAATGGTCCCAGTGATAATCTCTGGGGAATCCCAATAACGTACTATTTTTAAACTATCCTAAACTTATTTAATATATTTTTTTAGCCAATGAGAATTCACATCAGCGAACATTGTCGAGAGTGCTTAGAAGGTTCTCCCTTTGAAGTCGAATTTCGTGGAGTGGTAGAGCTGAAGGTAGATATTAATTAATACAAAAGTTATATATACATGTTGTATACAATTGTACAACCGAAATTCCATTGATGTTAAGTTGGTGTTGAGTCGGACAAAGTTATTTCATTCAGTTTACTCGCTGCTAAAGAATCGGCGAATATCGTTTTTATCGGTACGCCGTCATAAAAATCGGCGTAGATTACCTTCGGCATTACTTCGGCATTTTATTGGTAGGAGCGATTAAAAAAATGTTAGCAATGTGATCTTCTTATCTAGATTTTTGATGCCGATCATTAACTGACTCCTGCATGCCTGAAGACATTGCACACCTCATAGTTGATAATTTTGAGAACAATTTTAACAGTGCGCGCTAAGAAAGTAGATGCAAAACTGAACTTTGTATTAAAGCAAATCATAAAAATACTACCGGAAGTTGATTCATTGATCTTCTTCACATTTGATCAC